TCCGTGACTTGCCATTGTCATTTTGTAAAATTCAGTTTTAGTAGCAAATAAACTCTATTTATGCATTTAGCAATAAAAATATGAGAAATGCACGGATGGTGCAGTGCTTTAAGCTGTCACCTCGCCGCTTCCCACTGCGCTAATCGTTGTGAGTTCGATCATCACTTGAAACATCGCTTTGTATCCACAAATTGTTGTCCTTAGTCTGGGTGTTCTTTACGTCCGTTTCATGTATTTCTATTTTATTTATATCATTGTATTCCTAGTGCAAGAGCTGTCTTCTTTAAGAAAAAAAGCTTGACAAGTACGGACTGGTCCAATATGACAGATAACTATTATTTATAGACAGTAGACAGTAAATACAAGAATTGCTTTTTTTTAATTGAATTAGTTTCTTTTTGTTGATTAGTGTGGTCACACTGAGTAACCGGAAACTTTTATTCTGAAACAGGCACAGGTAAACTAAGACCAGCCTACTTACAAGTATAATTATATATTATATATAAACGCTATTTTTACACACTTTTTTAAAATTATTTTTTATATATAGGTAATAAAATATAATAATTTTCAACAAACTGGTAAGATTTATATAATGTTAATTTTAATATTCGGAATTAAAAGTATATAGAGGGAGGCATTACTATTTTGAAATATTATAATATTTGCACGCCAGGCAGTTCAGTAGGTAGGACATGTTTTGACTATGAATTTATAATCTACTTCCGTTTTGTAAGTGTACACAATAAGACACATGTTTGCACAAATAAAGGCCTATTTATCTAAAAGGCTTGATGCTCAGGCCCGTCTCTGATCTATTGGAAGCCCTGGGCACATCAGGATAAGGGGGTTCGACTACCTTGACTAAGTCTAATGTACAATGTCTAACTATTATTATATGTTATAAGTTAGACAAAGAAAGTATTGTAGTCAGACATTATCTCTCTAGTTTTCTAAATAAATATATTTTTGGGTAATAAATATCGATTATTGATTAGTGATTGGGCAGGAATTAGGGGGCAACTAACGATTGAGGGACGCGTGTCCAGAGTGCCCAGTAGGAAAGAGGGGGCTGTTGATGCTCAGAACTACTACGAAATTAAAAATAGATATCATCGCTACATGATGCAAAACTCAACATGATTAAAGCAAATTTGCTATTATAATGATAATGTTCAATGCGCAGGTAATAATAATATAATCTGTGGTATTATCATCCAATGTGACCAACGTACAATACTTCCGGGACATAATAGTTTTCGGAAGTCGCTGGTTTCTCTCAAGCATTGTCAACTGGCATTGGTCATCACGACCTTCGGTGTGTGGGAAGAATTATAAGGTTTTAGGAGTTTTTATATAAATACAACTTATTATCTTTGTCGATAGAAAACCTCGAATAAACAAGATAGCTTTAAGACAGTAGTTTTATAATGTAATCGTCGATATGGTAGATCAGGTGTTGAGGGAGACTTTTCAAAGTATGGAATAGATTATTTTAATGGTTCAAGACCTCTGCTATATGCTGTTTAATATGGATATATCAACATCTACTTCCTGACCTCCTAATTCATTTTGGGGTCGGTGCAAAGAATTTTTGTCTGGTTTGTTTTATCCTGTCTGCCTCTCAGACGACAAGCCTTCCTGGGACTGTAATGTCTTCCAGATGGTACAGAGGAGAAACGTAAAGTGGGGTATGGATAACATTTGGTAAAAAAGTTGGGATAAGAACTACTAAAAGTCTGTGATGAAGAAATTGAACTATTGCAGCGGCTCGAAGGGGTGAGGGTCGACGTCTATCCTGTGATTGGACTTACATGCATAGGGACAATCAGTGGTCACATACTCAGAAAAGACCATGTATAAGACGATGTGAATATGTATCAAAATCAGGTGCAAGTAGTATGAGGATTAGTCAGAAATTTACGAAATATGGATTTCTTATAATTTGCAATTTTAAATTTATTTGCATTAATTCCTGATCTTGATCACTTTACTTCCGTATAATTATCGTTATACACAGACAATTACACAATTAATATTAATTATTTTGGTAAAATATTTTGTTCAATTTATTAGTTCACTTATTACATGAGTACGAAAAAAATTTACGAACACACTAGAGATGTAGCAGTGGACTAACTCCAGTGAGTTACTTCAATTTTTATAACTTGAGATAATTTTTAACTTCTTTTTAACGTTCTTTTTAACTCGAGTTTGGTTTAATGTGTTGTTTACACTATAAGTGATTGTCATTCGTTTATTAAGACATTTTATATATCACGAAAATACTTTTTAATAATGTTCTGTCATAATAATATTCCAATTTTAATTACCTACTAAACCAAATACCTATAACCTAAATAATTATGATGACGATCATTTTGTTCTAACATGGATTAACATTGAAAAATAAATGCATTTAGAAAAACGTCAGCATCAGCATCTAATCAGCATCGTCGTGCCAACTCGAGTTGTGAAACTCTACTTAATTCGGACTTCAATTACGCGAATTTTAACTCGAGTTAAATCGAGTCTTTTTTTCCGTTTGATCTTTTGAAAACTAATCTAAGATACACATATATGTTTTGTAGTCCTTCCGCGTAGTCTAGTCTATTGGCTGTATTTTTTTGTACTTCAATAGTCAAACCAGATATTATTAGACTCTTGTAAGACCTTCAGGTAATGAACAAAGGAATTAATATGCATTTTATTTTTCTCAAATTAATTAAATGCCAACAAAAACCGCTAAGAGGTTATTAAAAATGTTTAAGTTGTTTTGTATATTAAATTTAAAGCACGTGCTCCCCTCGGTAGGTGTGGCGCGGAGCGGAAATCGTCACGGAGCCGATTGACCGCCGGACGTCAGTTCCTCCATTTTAATGCTTTCTACGAACACTCCCGATGTTTCCACGAACTAATGCGGACATTAAGAGCTTGCCACGAGTTTAGGCAACATTTGCATGTAGCAAACAATCGTTTACATTTATGTCTAATGTTTCTTTGACAACATGAAGTTACTGTTATGATCACGGAAGTGACATGTTCTGAAAGTTATGGTAGATTAATACCTACTTGTGCGATATTTTGTGCATTTATTATAATGACTTACTTAAATATAATAATATTTTCACACATTTCACACACTGATCCCAAACTAGGCAGAGCCTGTATTACGGTAACCAGAATGCTGATAAACATACTTATATATTTCTAAATACACGCATAATATAGATACATTACACCCAGACAGAATAAATGACCGTGCTCATCACACAATTATTTGTCCTGGATGGGAATCGAACACACGACCTCTCACGTAGGCCCCAACAGGCCAATCGACATGTATTTGTTTTTGGACTTATAATAAGTAAGAACTGACAACTCCTTAAAATTATCGAATTTAATTCATCGTACTTATTGACGTCTCGTGACTGAATGACCGGCACCGCTTAGGGAAACATGCTACTCAAGGAACACTAGTGAGTAGCCCCCCTTTCCTCCATAATAGGGGGAGATTCGGTCTCTGGTAAACTCACGTAGTAAAAAGCAAGGAAAGTAATGTGTAAGACCGGTTTTCTGCGAGGCCGTGATATAACTCCGGTCGAGACGGGACTGCGACTACAGTAGTTAGTCGTATTATGGTCTCAGTTCCGTTCTCCTACGTAGACGTATGGTGTCCCTGACCCTAGGTGTCGCTCTATTCAATTTTATTGGCCCAATTTTCCTTTCACCATTGTCCAGGAAATGTTACAAAAGAAACAAGCTAAAACCTTTTGAAATGTTAAACGTTACACGGATCCCAAATAAAATTGGCAAGAGGACAAGGAAGATGGACGTAATTAGACAAACAGCCAAATCGCGCGGGGAGTTCCCTCCGGCCGCCAACTTGTGTTAGTGTGCGTAGACTATTTGCACGGAATACACATGTAGTTATTACCTTTGTGCGATACCTACGGGGAATGACGTTTACCTTTGACAGCTGATTGCATAAAAAGTTCCATTTTCCGGCAAAAAATTCAAAAGATTTTAGAGTTAGCATGATGGTCTAAATACACTATTTCAGTATTCGTTACGATGCCCCTTACACCCTGTATAATGAAAGAAAGAGATGTGCTCCGCCTATTATTCAGATCAGTCTTTTTTTAGTTGCAATTTATTTAATTATAATTTATATTACACATGCTTGTTCTCATAACGTGCACGGTTTTTCATCACAGTTTTTCTTACCTCAATAAACTGTAACACTTTAAATCCCTTCACATACACATTACCTTCCTGTTGTCTGTATGTTGTAGAAGTACTAAACCGAGATTGTGAACACAGAACTGACAGCTAACAAGTAAATATTGTCATATTTTGTCTTGTTAATTTTCCGTCAACATAACTTGCTAATTAAATATTTGGTAATAAAAGGGACGTGTTTATGAACCAACAAGTTTGTCAGAGAAGGATAAAAGATTATTATCTGAGAGTAAATGTGAGTTCGTTGTCCGCGGTGGGCTCTATGGGCCACAATCGCGTTTAACCAGATTTGGGTCAGTGTGTAGGTGACACATCCGTCACTTACTCCATAATGCGAGCAGTAAAACGTACCTTGCGGATGGACAATTGGATGAATAGATCACGTTTACGTCTTGTTACTCTTAACGATGTAGGAAACTTGTTTCGAATTGTTAAATTTTGTCTCGACTGTAGTGTGCGCAAGCAACCCGCTCTGGAACACGGGTGGGAATGATTCTCTAAGATATTGTTTTTATATTACTATGACTTCTTACACGGCGCATGTCAGTAAAGCTCACAGTCTGCATGACTTTTAAGAACAATCTTCAACAATCATACTTGAACAAATTTATATAAAATATTTTTCAAATTAAACAGACAGTTTATTCAGACAGAAGGATAAGAGATGCGCCCGTGTTCTTTATAAATAGGTAGTACTAAAAATGTTTCAGCAATCAAAACAATTAATTTTTATCAAACAGAGTAAACTGTGAGATATTTCATGGTTTCTTCTTAAGCTTCTTATTTATGCCTAGCCAATACCTGTCCAAACCTGCTTGTAACTTGATAGGATCCATTTTATCCCCTTCTAAATGTCCTGAAGAGTTTATTTTTAACGCCCACGTTACAGAGAGGTTGTCCACTTCGTTCAACCATACCAATGTACTATTGTCACAACTTGTACCAGATAGAGCAGGATCTGTAAAGTTTTTAATGTCTCCGTGGGATTCTCCGCCAGCGATACGGTTGAGCGTGGGCGATGCAATAAAGGGACAGGTCTCGGTGACCAATGGGTTATCGCTAACTGCCCACGAGATTAGACAACGGGTACTGTTAAAGTGGACGATTGTCGGTCTTGATGGCCCGGGGGGGCCCGGCAATTGTCTCCTCAACTGGCTGTAATGCGGTTTGTCTGTACCGGAGACGTGATTAAGAAGACAGCAGGTTTTATTGTTTGGATGCATTATTTCTTTATAACTTTACACATCTCACACACGGCCGTCTGATCCCAAACTAGGCAGAGCCTGTGCTATGGTAACCAGACTGCTGATAAACGTACTTATATATTTTTAAATACATACATATTATAGATAAATTACACCCAGACACAGAACAAATGACCGTGCTCGTCACACAATATTTGTCCTGGGTGGGAATCGAACCTACGACCTCTGGCTTAGCAGTCAGGGTCACTAACCACCAGACCAACAGGCCCGTCACAATATATTGCTAAATACATTCTTATTATGGACATATTACACCCAGACATAGTAGAAATGATCGTGTTGAAACGAATCCACAACCTATGGCTGAGCAGTCAAAATTATTACCACTTGCTGGACCAACAGGTCAGTCTAATTTTTATTTTGATACTGTGATTCACAGGCAGATCAATTTGCTAAACGATTATATCACCCGCCTGAAGTAAGGGTTCATAAATTAAATATGTGGTATGTTTCATCCCCTCCAGACAGTACTAAACACTTTAGGAGCTTTCAAACTTTTAATGATTTTCTTACTAGAAAGAATGAAAAAGCTAACAGAGTTTATTTTTGAATAGTAATTATAAATAGGGCTTAGAAATTGCCTAATTATATCTTGCCGAAATTGAATAAAGATGGATTGTTTAAAGACATCACGACGATCTTAAATAATAAATATTTATTTAATCACCAAAAATATAGTCTCTAGATGGAACTTTCCCAATACTGATGATTCATATTTGCCTATTTTGGCAGACAGTATTCCGTGTTAGAAGTATTATGAAATAGCTTAAATGTTAATTAAGGTGACACGTTGACTCAGTCGTAAATAAAAGTGTTTATCAGAAAAATATACGTAATATAATTTAATTTAATTGTGTTTACACACTTCGGAATAATGGATAAATATCGATTACTAGCTGACCCGCGCAACTTCGTCTGCGTCTCTCAATAGTAATAAATTTTCTCCGTTTTTGAAACATTCTTCATTGGTGCTCCGCTCCTATTGGTCTTAGCGTGATGATATATAGCCTATAGCCTTCCTCGATAAATGGGCTATCTAACACTGAAAGAATTTTTCAAATCGGACCAGTGGTTCCTGAGATTAGCGCGTTCTAACAAACAAACAAACAAACTCTTCAGCTTTACAATATTAGTATAGATTTCAAGTTTGGGAAATGTGGTTTTTATCTTTAAATAAAGTATCTTTCTATAAAATAAGTCTTATAGTTTCTTTGAACTTATCTTGTATCTTATTACTAGTTAGAGAAATGATATTATAAAGACTGTGCAAAGCTCGTTAACGACATACTCGAGATTTTATTATTTTGACATTCCTCGATTTTATGTTCTTCATATACGAAGACATAAAATCTATATTTCTTTTAAAGAAGGAGCATAACTATGTATTATGTAAAATAGCGCCGCCTTCAGCGCTTCAAAGCCATGTCTTTTTATTACATGTTTGTATCCATTTGTAGAACATTCCATTTATAGCCATAGTTTATTATTTGCGTCGCGTGCGCGCATGTTGGCGGGCTCGTAAAAGCTGTACCGATCATGATAGAGTTATTACTTTCGTGTACGCACCGGAGACGGGACAGCAGGATAATATTGTGTTCTATAACAGGATCTGACATTGACATCATAAGCAGCAGTGGGATAAACTCCTTTTTGCTTCTATTTTTAACAAATGTGTCTGGGTGTTTAGTTTAGTACTGACTGGATTCTATTAGCGAAGAATAAGGTATTTCTTGAATGTAAATGAGGATTAGTTAAGACGGTAAATGAAAGTTCTTTAGTTTCATTTTGAAATATGTGACACTCTGTAAAGTTTTTTTACGTATCATCTATCTATCTATCTATCTATATATATATATATATATATATATATATATATATATATATATAAATGTGAAGTTTCTGTACGATTCAAAACTCAAAAGTTCCACAGCTATCAAGCTCAAATTTTGACTTAATATATAAACTGTTTCAAAGATTGTTTTTATCTATTTTTCGCGTTAGTTGTGTTCCCCATTTCTCATCAATACAATTACAATGTGCCACAGCGAAGCGTGGCAGGGTACAGCTGGTTAATGATAATAATATAAGAATGAGCCCCTATTCATAAAGGGATAAATGATAGAAGGCTGCGGTGATATATTATCGACACAGTATATAGTTAGCCACTATTATTCACAACACAACAACAACAATACAATAGTTATAAAAAGACTTTAGTTGTTGTTTTAAAAGTTGCTGGATCACAAAAATGGTTGGCGACCAATGTCTAAAACCAACGGTAAATAGTGATTGGTATTTTGACCCATTTGAAAGGGTCATTGAGAGATTATCATAAAAAAAATTACCACTTTTAGAAGGGTCACAATAAGGGGAGATAAAATCAAGCACTTCCCTAGTATTCTCTACCCATAAGGTGCCATGGTATTGGGCACATGCCACGTTCCAAGTACTTTTTATAAACTACTTACTTATTTAATATCAGCAATATTTTTAACTGTTAATATTTCGAACTGGGCTGCAGCTTGAAACTTTAAAACTCTCGCATGTAAACCAGGATTTGACAGTTTATAAGTACGAGTAGAGTTCTATGAGCATTTGCCTGAGTTTGGCAGATTGGCGTATGTATTGTCCTAGTAGAAACAGAATCAGTACGCTCCGTAAAATGACAGTGGGTTTGCCTCAATTTACAGGCTTCCAATCTGCCCCGAATGGCAAGGACGTAGGGTACATCGTCGAAAGGAAACCCTAGGGTTTTAGATTTAGGTGAACCTGAAACCCCTTCAAAAAAAATGCTGGTGCAACACTCTGTGGTCTAATCGGTTCAAATACAAAGTATCACCATATGTTGAGGTAACGATCCAAGGAAGTTTCCACACAAGAAAGAAAAAAGGGTTGTTAGATAGGGTAGCTACCACAGAACAGAGAATGTCCCTACTAGGGATCATCGATGTAACTAAATAATATATTTTATCTTTTTGAAACTAATCCACTGATACATACATTAGAATATATGGCCGATAGGAAATGATAACATAATCCGGTAATATTGTATATGTTATTCGTCAAATGGTAACAATATCCTAACTTTTTAACTATTGTGTTCCATATTATATAATTATGTTGGGAGTAATAAAGTATGTACATATAATATCTCCTGCGTCAGTGCACAGTTTGCGTGTCATGAAAGTAGCACAAAGAATGGAAGCATCTACGGTCTCAACTCAGCAGTACAAAGTTTTGTCTAGGATCGAGGGTCAAATAATGTAGACTGTTAAAACTTCTATTGTATAGGTACTACCCTGATCCACAGTGAGTAATCATTTGTGACGTAAAACAACAATAATGTATAACTTTAGGTAATTCATTATTCCCATATAGTGATGCGTATATTTTTGTTTCATAAGGTGCATTTTGTTTCGGTTCCTGGTGATTAATTAATGGTTAGAAATATCAAAAAGTTGAGGACAAGAAGGTAGGCAAATTAATTGGCAAAAATCTATATTAAGCTGATATTTATAAGGTTTAAGTTTGTTCATTCTTTGATAAATTTCGTAATAAATATTTAGTGTCAGAAAGATAGACCGTTTATGAAGAAACATCAAATATGATATGTAGGTTATTTGGAATTATAAAAGCAAGTGAAATTGCGGGGAAAGACTTGTAATGAAATGAATTGATATTCAGCAATACAATTTATACCTCCTCAACCTCTTGACACAATTTTTTTAGTCATCATCATCATTATCATCAGTCTATCGCAGTCCACTGCTGCACATAGGCCTCTCCCATTGCAAGCCACTAAGATCGATTTTGGGCTTCTCGCATCTAGCTCCTGCCAGCCATCTTGCGCAAATCGTCACTCCACCTGGCCTGTGGGCGTCCTACACTACGTTTCCCGAGAACTCCATTCAAGAACTCGTTTTTCCCAATTTTTTTAGTTATAAACTGATGTAATAGAACATTTTTTTTTAAAACGACAAATTAGAATTTTTTTTATACTTAGAGAATTTCGTGCAGGGCGCACCCAAGTCTTTTGCAATAAACTCATTTGTGACGACACAACACCGTGTAGTTTTAACCCATGGAGGATGAATAGGTAACTTGAGTAAAGACGAAAATTAGGAATCTTTATATTTTTCATTGAATAATTACATCATACATGCATCATCTTTTCCCTTCAACTTAGCCAGGGATGAACACATAGCACCTCTTATAGTTTGTTGCTTACAGTTTATCCGACTGTTTATCAATAACTTCAAAAAAGAAAGTTTTTAAAAAGAAAGTACGCACTAAGTACATGTTGTTTACATTCGTGTTAATTCTCGCATTTTATTTGTTTTCTTACGTACCCAGACATCGCGAACAGTGCTGTGCACTTTCCCTGTTTTGCGATACAACAGTTTTAAGTAAGTATGACTAATTAATGAGCCTTTCTCATTGCGCAACTGATACAAATCCATTAATTCCATTATGTTTCTGTACATGGCTCGTCTTTAATTGTTGTTACAACGCGGAATACATGTCTAAACGTTTACATGAATAATAAGAATGACTGTTATTGGACAGGGAGGTTGCAATTTGGGGAGGTGTGGTACTCGTTTTGTTGTGAATCATACTTCTGAAAGTAATGCGCTCCTAGTATTTTGTAGTAATAGTTAACTGGTCAGGTGATTACACTGTCCCGAAATTAAAATGATTGTGTGTTGTGTGTGTGTGTTTTTAACCAACGTCACAAAAGAAGGAAGTTCTTAATTCGTGTCTATTTTTTTTTATGTTTGGTACCTCAAAACTCCATCCTTTACGTACGATTTCAAAAAATCTTATTTTATTTGTTAGGGTATACTTTCTCGTTTGGCCGTCATTCAAAATGGTGTGGTATTTTCTGGTATTTTTAAGTTATGTGCTATAAATATATAATAAAAAATACTCCCAAGTGTAGAAAATTAAGGAATGAAGAA